CATAGTATTTCTCAATACAATGAGTTAACAAGAGTTTGGCAATAAGTAACAGTGTGGATTTTTCTATATTTTCTTTTTTTTATTCCACTCTCAACCCAAAAAGGCAAGTAATGACTCACAGGGCTCTCAAGTATGCAAAGTAAAAACTTAAATGACCTGTTGTGGTGTGTTTTGCGCACAACCAGCATGCATCGTTAACGCAATGGAAAATTTACGTATCCGAGCTTTAATTTCGGGAGCACTGGTTGCGCTTTGGGAAGAGTCAGGGGAGAGACATGTCAGAGACACAGGGGAGAAACGGGGGAGATACGAGGGAGACCCGCACTTGCAACATGGTTCTGTCTGCATATGGTCCGAGCTCGGTACCATGTTAGAGCTGTGCTTTCACTGAGCGCCGCGGCTGTCATTACAAAGCGGCAGCAGCTGCACCAGGACGTGCACATTCGAGTGCATCTCTTGAATGTGCTTAGAACAAATAGCAGCAAGTGCCCGCTGTCACACATTTCACAGAAATTACATTATCAGCAGATAAAGGTTGTAAATCGTGGATCCGTGGAATATTTTCATCCCTAGTTTATCCTGATTCACACAACACACCCACTCATACATTTTGGATAGTAAGAGCACAATAAGTATTTTTTCAGCCTTTCAACCAACCTGTTTCTTTATTGGAGCCAGTTCTGTTCTGTCTCTGTGCCGTGTGAGCTCCTCGGAACATTAAACAGTGCGCTGACAGATTAGAAATAACGTAAGTACTTTGAATGGTAATAGATCTACAGTACTTTCCTCTGATTACTCACGTGCTACAACGCTCAGGGAACGAAAAAAAACACTTGCTTCACGCTGGCTAACTTTTAAAAATTAAACAGTTGCTCAGTGCTTCAGTTTGGCGCTGAAGAAGACAGCCAATCACTGCAGAGAACGGAACGGGTCACGTGCTGCTGCTGCTGCTGTTGCTCTGGAGGCGAGGAGGAGGCGCGACGTATGCACAAACGGAAGACATGTGTCCCGGACTGTCCGGGTCACGGGACATCATGTCATTTTGGTGGGGACTTTTTAGTCCTCACCAAATATTGGTGGGGACATGTCCCCATGGTCCCCACGCAAACCTACGCCCTTGTCCGCCACAACTTAAACGTCCCAAAGAGCTTAGGATCTTATCAGCACCAGTTGAGGTCCCAGCCAGTTTTAAAATACACCAATATTTAAACATTTTAAATCCTCGTCTCCTCCAGCTTTCCCTCTCGTCGTTCATGCGTGCAGACCTTCAGGAGACTCAATCAAAGTCCCTGCAGGTCATCTGGGATTGTCTGACATTTTTTCGAGCCGAATTCGTTATGGGAAAGTGACGGCAGCCGCTCGCAAGAAAAGCATCAAATGTATCACTGGAAATGTGTCAGTGGGGCTGCTCCCATCTGGTGAGAGGACGACAGTCTGTGAGCATGGATGAGCACCAAACACCGCTCAGGATCAGTGGACCACATGGAGTTTTCTGTAACACTATGAAAATGACCATCAGTAGTTTTTTTCTACACATAGAATTCTCATAGTATTCATTCAAGTCATTGATAAATATGTTTTCACAATAGATTAATTTATATTATTTGTATTTGATAAGTATCCGTATTCGAGTCAATATATATTTGGACCTGAAATACAACCTCACTTAGTTTTAGGCACTTTTACCATCAAACTGCATCTCAGCCATTTGGTAAAGGTCTTTAATCTATTTGAAATAAGGATAAAAATGTTTTTATTAGTGTTATTAGTGCTCATACATCTTAGAAAAGATGACATTGCTTTATTCAAGGAGTGAATGTCAAAGGCTTAACTCGTCAAGACATAAAACCAGTGACCAAACTCACATCAGAGGAAGACGAGATTTGAGGTGATTTGGTCCAGATTTTGGTCCAGATTCCCCTCGCCACGTCCACTTACCCCAGCTCATTCAGGGGAATCCCGAGGTGCTCATGCAGTCTATGGGTGCTCCCAAACATAGCGGAGTCTCCTTCTGGTGGGACAAGCTCAGACCACATCACTTGGGTGACGTCCAGGAGGCACCCAAAAACAGAGGTTTAGCTGGTTTCTCTCGGGGCAGCAGCGCTACTCCGAGCTCCTCCCATGTGACTGAGCCCCTCACACAATCTCACTAAAGGAGGGCGGCACGGTGGCTGAGTGGATAGCACTCTCGCCTCTCAGCAAGAAGGTCCTGGGTTCGAATCCCGGTCGGACCAGGGCCTTTCTGAGTGGAGTTTGCATGTTCTCCCTGTGTCTGCGTGTCCAATAGTTCTGGCATGCGCCTCCTGTACTGGCGACCCCGCTCCCCTCTCTGTGTGGAGTGAGAGACAAATGCCCATAATTAACAATTGTAAACCGCTTTGAGACTCAGATCTGCAGTGAAAAGGCGGTATATAAATAAAAACTTACTTACTTACTAAAGGAGCGCCCAGCCAGTCTGAGGAGGAAACTTATTTAGCTCGTGCTTTCGGCCATTACCCAAAGCTTATGTGTAATAACCAGATCTTCTTTTTTGTTCTATTTTATTATAATATATATTTTAAACTTTTTTATTTTCATTCATTTTTTGATGTTATTTGTATTCGTTTTTTGCTGTTATTTTTATTCATTTTTTTAATGTTATTTTTTGACATTATCTTTTCCTTTGCATTATATTTCTTGCCTTTTAATGTTTTTGAAATATGAAATTTTGACCACTGGAATTCTAAAGGCAAGAAGTATGAAATTAAATTGAAAAATAAAACGCTTAGCCTCTCCATTTAGCTCCCTCTTCATTAGTAATAACTACTCCACAAATGTACGTACTGTATTTCAGGGCAATAAGACTTCCCTAAAAACTGGGTCAGTCGCAAAACTCTGTCAGGATTTTTTAACTTGCACCCAATGATAACAAGGGAAGCTCTGCGTTTACAAAGCTGTATTTTTTTATTCAATAAGAGTATTATTGTTACACATCACCACATATAAAAAACAGCAGCCTGTAAAAACAGCCACAGTAACAGTATTAATAGTATTAAGTTATATCAAGTGTTGTACAATCAAAATGAGGGTTGAAGAAGGTAGTACAATTTTCATCACCAGCACTGAGATGCAGCATGTCCGTCGGTCATACGCTGAAGTAAAAATATACGCCTGTAGTACACACATGCAGTACAAACCAACACAACTACCAGCTCTGCACACATAGAGCTTAACTACACATTACGACCGCCTTTGAACGCACCTCTCCTGGGACTGACATTATCACAAGCAGAAGTCATTTCACACGTTGGTTTGGATCCATCATAGAAGCAAAGCACTTTTCCATACAAAACAAAAGTAAAAATAAGAAATGATAAATGAAGGACTCTTTGTACAAAAACGTATACATTTTAAAGGCATTTCTGTCGAGAAGCATTTACAGTTAGAAGAACAGCATTGATTATTATGGAACTGTTTATACCACAGGTTTCAAATCCAAGTGAGAAAATTGCACGTTATCAAATCCAAATGTTTTTTTTTTGTCTTGAGAAAGTTGTACACATTTTATTACTCACTGTATATTTTGGTGAAAGGTTACATTCTTACTTTAAATGCTATATAGAGATAAAGTTTTTTTTTTAATTTGTTCTCCCATTGATTAAAATAACTTATCTTATGCACTGTGAATCAAGTTCCCATTCATTTCCCCACAGGCTTTTGCTATAGAAGTAGCTAATGCACACATCAATACAAATTTAACTATAATTTGTGAAACATAGACAGAATTTATTGTCACTTGGAATAAACCATTCTTGTTTTTGAACTATTTTGCATAAAAAAAGGGAAAATGAATGGAAAGAATTCTTATAGAACTCCAGTGGGCCTTGACAGTTAAGAACTATTCACCGTGGACATTTCTTTTGTTTGGTTTTGTGAGATAAACATTTCTGTACATAATTTAGATTGGATTAGATCAAACAACATCCTTTATATATTTGAGACTGAACTGTAGCATGTAAGCGCTTGTTCCCATAAATGCTAACACAGAGTTCCATGGCCTCTGTTTGGTCCCACCAGGATCTTGTTCCGCCTCTTACACGTGTGGTTTATGATATGCCGTTTCAGTAGATGGCCCTCCATTAAGATTCTCATTCTGCAGCTCCAAAGGGCCAGTGCACGGGGCTATAAGAGGAAACACATACAAGCAACCGACGTAATCTATTTAGCTACGCTTCAGACTCTGAAGCAGGTTTTTTTTATCGCTGCAAATGGCGGGCTTGACTGCTTGACTTGATTTCTTTACCAGAGCCACCTTCTTCTTCAAAGGGACATTTCTCCTCTCTCTCTTGATCGCCTCTCATGTTTTAATCCAATCTATGACTTTTGTTGTTCATGTATTCCCCAAAGTTCTTTCTCTGGTTTTCTCGTTTCACAAATATGAAATTCCCTCATTTGGTTTGGTGTAATTAAAATTCGACTCCAGTGCTGTTTATTGATCGCAGCTAATACTTTAACACCACTATTTATTCATTCAGAGTTTTCAACAGGGTGTAAATTGTTTGGCTGTTCTAAGCAGATGTGAAGCTCCATGTGGAATAGCTTTTATTGCTGTTTGTCTCTTTTCAAAGGGAATTTGATTAAGTAAATCCTATGTGATCCCCCTGTTATATCTCAATATCTTCGCCGAGCAGCCTTATTTATTTCAAATCCGAGTGTTGTTGTCCAAATATGAGGTAAACACGATTTGTAGCCATTCTCTATAGACTTGACTTCCTTGTTTTGGCAGTTCCCAGTGGGTGTCGTTGAGTCCGTGCTGCAGAGATAACAAACGCATGGGGAAAACCCGATCTCCAGCTGTGAATGAGCTGCTTGACCTCCCAATAGTGGTTTGCGCCTGTCTCTCTGATTTCACATGTTAAATAAAGCTGATGTATAGTTTTCAAAGCACTGAAAGTCAATTGTCCTGTTCCGGTACATAAAAAAACCCCGGACTCAGCCGCAAACGTCTTTGGGATCCATTATTATAACATCCGCTCGTTTTGCAGCGTCTTGTAGTAATGTTCCTGCTCCGCGTGGCTCCGGGCCGAGCCAGAGGGCCGCCGAGGCAGCGTGGACGAGCGAGACATGGCCTGGCTGTGGCTGTCCATGAGCAGGTCAGGGTGAGGGGGCGGGGGCAGCAGGGTGGAGGGGTGAGGCGGCGGGGGCATCTGCTGGGAGGACGGGTGAAGGGGCATTTTGGGCGGGGGCAGCTGATAGTGCGACGAGGCCATGTGAGCGGAGGGGTGCGGCGGCGGTGGCATAGCGTGGTGCATGTGGTGGGGCAGGCGCGGCGATGGCGGTGGCATTTTGGTGGGCTGCGGGGAGGGAGAGGAGCTGGGCGGAGGGGGCAGGAGGGGGGTCGAGGCGGGCAGAGGAGGCGGCGGCATGTGGGAGGAGCTGGAGTGTGAGTAGGAGGAGTTATGGTGCGGCATATGAGAGGAGCTAGAGAGCGGCGGCGGTGGCGGCATGTGGGAGGAGCTCTGCGAGTGCGAGGAGATGTGGTTGGGTGGGGGAGGCATGTGAGAGGAGCTGGAGTGGGGCGGGGGAGGGCTGTGGGAGGAGCTTGTGTGCTGGGGCGGGGGCAAATGGGAGGAGCTAGGGTGAAGCGGCGGGGGCATGTGAGCAGAGGTGGCGTGCGGAGGTGGAGGGTGCATGTGGGAGGCGCTGGAGTGGGGCGGGGGAGGAGTGTGGGAGGAGCTGGAGTGAGGAGGAGGCGGCGGCAAATGGGAGGAGCTGGAGTGGGAGTGAGTGGAGCTAGAGTGCGCAGGCATGATGTGGGAGGAGCTGGAGTGAGGCGGTGGGGGGGGTATAGGCGAAGGGGAGGGCGGGGGAGGGAGCGGGGAGGAGGACAGCTGAGGTGGGGGAGGTAGCGGAGAGGGAGACGTGGGCAAGGCGGGAGGCTCCGGTGGTCCCTCCATACTGCCCCCTGTGGTGGAGGAGTGTGAGTCGCTTTTAACGGGCAGAGTCCTGTAGTCGCGGTACTGGCTCACGTTGTCCTGGCGCTGCAGACCGCTGCGCTGTTTGTCTGAGGAGGCGTCGGTGCTGATCATGTTGCCGCTGATGGTGTTCCTCCACTCCCATGGCTTTCCGTTGGGGGCAGACACCCGGACGACAGGGTGATGGGGAGCGTGGGCGTCTATAGTGACAATGCTCCCACTTCCGGCGATACTTCCTGGGTTACTCCCGCTGCAGCTGTCGTGGTCCGAGGGGATCCGGTAATAAGGCGACTCCGAGCAGGACGAGCCACCTCCAGATGAAGAGCCCTCAGAGCCCTGCTGCTTGGACATGGCTATGACCTGTAAACCACACAACGTGTAATGTCAGCATATGTTAAATGTCGACATATATGTCAACATATATGTAGAAATCTATGTACATATATGTCCACATATATACATACATATATGTATTCAAGTGCTATCATAGTCAAAACATACAAGTGTGCTTTAGCGAGGATAGCTGCAGGTTATGTTGGGTCGTTGTCTAATGATATCCTTTTCTTTCCCTTGGGCCTCACACTGCGGGCTTGCTTTGTCAACATTTTTTACAAGGTGAGAAAAGTGATCTTGTAAAATACTGCAGAATCGACTAATTGGCTTAGTCAACACTGCAACAAAACATTTGGCTTACACTTTTCATTATTGCAAATTCATTATTTTATGGCAGCATAGTGTAATGAAAAGTCCTTAGTGAAATGATACCTCTCTGCAAGCTTTATAAACAATATTAATCACAAGTATGTGATAGTTGGCAGCAATGTTGTGTCTGTATATTTGACAGCTGGCTGACCTCCAGGTGGTATTAAATCTATAGTAGCTCATGCTTGTGTTAGAATGATGTGAAACATTCCTCTAATGATCACCTGTGTGACTCGCTGCTGACTGGGCGGCTGGCTGGGCTGGATGTTGGGAACTCTGGGAGTGGAGACTGCGATGGGCCCAGGGCTTGGCTCCTTTCCCCCCCCTCCCTCCTGCAGCAACAGCCACTTAGCTCGTGTCTTGGCGCTCTTTGGGGAGACAGGAGGTGGCCGGGAGGCCTCTTCAGGGATGTGGACGAGCGGGGGGGCCATAGCGACACGGGGTATGGTTGGAGTGGCGCTGCCTTTGGCTTGTACTGTGGGGTAGAGAGAGGACGGCATGGCCTGCTCAGAGTCTCCTGCTGCGCCTTCATCTCCATCCGTATTGTCCGGTCCATCCTCATCCTCACGAGAGCTCTGACTGCGCAGCTCCAGGGAGCGCTGCTTCCACTCCGACACCAGCTGCCGTGACCTCTGCGAGTCATAGGGCACGTGGAAGGTCATGTGACGCTGAGTGGAGATTGGCTCGTCTGAGGGCGAGATGGGGCTGTTGCCGTTGGCGACTCGGGGTAAGGTATTGCTAAAGGTTACCATAGTTTCTTTCCCCATGGGCCTGCAGGTGGCCAGCAGCTCCACATCAGCACTAGCCCTCTTCAGGGAGGCCAGAGATGCCTTCTCTCTGCGCACCTTACTGCGACCGCCTGCCCCCAGCCCGGCCCCTAGCTCTTCTCTGCTTTCAGACGCCCGTGGGGTCTTTCTGTACAGAGAGTCATGGCCGCGCTGACTCAGTACCCGGAGGTCTTTCTGCTGGGACAGACTCAGTCTGGAGACACACGGCGCATCCTCCTCTGAGGCTTTAAAGTTCCCCACTGCATAGACCGCCTGACACCACAGAGAAAGAGGGCAGGGGGAGAGAAACCACGTTAATAGAAGAACACAAGCATGAAAGCTTTTCTCTAATCTGTGGGAGGGAAACTGCTTCTCCCATTCATTTACAGAAAACGCATAAACAGGCAATTCTCATCTCTGCTGTTTAGTGTGTGGTCAGCATGAATCTCAGGGCTCTTTAATGAGTGAAGGAAGGCTGCAGAAAGGGGGTCCAGGGGAGAGGGAATAGAGCGTAGCTAATAGCTAAGACAAGTTTTCTTAGATTAAATAGAGAAATTGTTCCAGCCAGTTCTTATCGCATTATTCCGTCTCTCTCTCACGCCCCTCCGTAATAGAAGGAGCTATATATAGGTTGCCAAAACCCGGACAAGAGAAAGAAAGGCATGGAAGCTAATCAAAGTGATGAAACAAACAAGGCATTTGTTAACACATGGTGTGATTGTGTGAGCTGAATACAATGGTGCAATTTAGTAACAGCCAAACATCCCAGTCTATTTAGACGTAGTTCATCATTATCACCTCTCTGAGAACTAATTATTATCTTCTGCTTTAACAAAAGAATAAAGTAACATTCTTTATACTGTCAAAGGTTGTGTTCAAGTCAAACACAACAGTACATTGTTGGATAATGCGGAGGGCAGTTCAGAAGAATATGCAACAATTGGCCCTGTTAGTTTGAGTGAAATCCAGAAATACCGACCAGATAGACTCCGATGCCTGCTCCGATGAGGTAGCCCACATACACGTCGATGGGGTGACTGCGGTACTGTGTGATCTGCGTCAGGCCGGCCAGTCCCGCCGCCATGCAGAACCCAAACACAAGCAACGGCTTCAGGAGCTTAGTGGTACTGCTGATGCTTGCATTGAAGTACATCTGTGGAGAGAAACAAGGACAAACGATTATAGAGTGAGAACTAATGAATTACCAGATATTTGTTCAATAATCCCGCCAGAATTATCCATATGTTATTTCCACATCCATTGTAAATTTAGAGAAATTGAACTGTCTAATGATTGTTATTGACAAAATATACATTACGGATAATCTAATCTAATAAAAAATGAGCGTAAACATTAAGTATCATATCAATTATTAATATCAAAAGCATGCATGCATTTTTCATTTGACTGGTAAGCTTGCCAACTTCATAACGCTTATTTAGGTCTCCTTTGAATGTATTTTGTCCAACCTCTTTGGTTTATCCCCCTGAATATATCTCTTCAATTAGGTATTTAATTGCTTATAAGATAAACAGGAAAAAGTATTATTTCATGTGATCTCATCCACCTTTTTCACAACTTTTACCATATGGAATATTCTATCCAGGCAAAGGGTAAAGGGTAAAGGAGCACTTTATTAATCCTCGTAGGGCAATTCATCCTCTGCATTTGACCCATCCTGATGCCACTAAGGCTTATGTTAGGAGCAGTGAAGGTGAATCTTAGGCATATTATTTGTACATAAATGTGGATTCTCACACTTTTAACATGCAGCGTTAAAACATGACTTCATTTTGAGGCTAAAATCATACAGCAGGTATGAAAGATAAATGCAATAGGAATGTGAAATGTGTTTTTGTAGAAGCAAAAAAAAAAAAAAAAAAGCACACAAGAAGATACTAGTCATTAAAGTGTGCAGGCAGAGAGGAGAGAGGTTCACATCTCTACATTCAGCCTGCACCATTGTTGGATTACATAAGGAGGTGAAGGACAGATGACGGACAGGAAGCAGCCTATGCAGGGAATTTAACAATCTTGTCAATCTCCAACGCTGATGTGAGCTGCAGGGAGGCCATTTGCAGCTTTCCACGTCGACTAAATCACACGTGGCGTCGATGCACATAAAGTAAGCTAAGTTTTTGAGTACTTTGCTTGTATTTGACGAGTTGTAACTATAGCAACAAGCCTGGAATAGTGAGTTTTAATGAGCGGGCATGGGGTGCTGTGGAGCGGTGATGAGGCCAGTAGCTGCTTTAAGAGCCAGAGGAGCATGGTTAGTGTGTGCCCAGAGAAAGATGACACACAGTCCACACATTGCAACTGTCAGCGCTTTTTTAATAATGAAGAAATGGAGAGTCCACAAAGCAGCCTAGTTACACTTTTAATAAGAACTCGTCCAACTACTGGCTAAATGGGGAACTCTCAATTCCCCAAAGACAAATAATGACTTTTTTTTTTTTTTTTTTAACATTGTGCAAAGTCATTTAAAATTGAACAAATGGGGATACTTCAGCTGGAAGTGTGAATACTGGCTGAGTGGTTATCTGTTCATAGTTTCACCCAGTGGCTACTCCACCTCTGCTGCTGTGACCTGTTTTTCATTTTGCTGCTACTAGACACCTGAATTTCTAAAAAGGGGATTAATAAAGTATCCGTCTATCTATCTATCTATAGTTGTAGATGATTATGTACGTTTAAAGATTCTTTCAAATATCTCAATTGTGAAAAACAAAGCAACATGCTCATTCATTCTTTCTCTATTCTAGTTTGTCCGTTCCAACAATAACCCACACTTCTACTAACGCTGCAGAATGTATTAAATAAGGATTTCTTACAGAGATGTAGACAGCCGCAAAGCCTGAGAGTGTTGCATGTTGGGATGGAAAGGTTTTCCTGAGGGCAGAAAAAGAGAGAATGCATTTCAATTAGAGTAGAATGAAGAGATTTTTGCAGAAACATGAACAACTTTTCATTTGTCATCTCATTAACACAGCACGGTTTCCATTTATACATCACATGCATTTAATTAAGACACAATGAGGCTTTTTGTATTATAATTGTGTTATCAAAAAACCTAGAACAAAAATATAGTAGGAGCCACATACTAATAACAATATAAAACAATATATTTTGTGATAAACCCTTTTGGTTGACTGTCACACTCTATTCCCATTGTCTGTGAAAACAATGTGTGAAAATAAATGCAGTATCATAAAATACAATAATCTGTCTGTTAATTGCAGTAATCTATATAGAAGTGAGCAGTTATTGCAAAGTATCCAATGAAGACCAGAGCCTGCAATACAAGCCTATTTGTTCAGCCTGGATTATCTCTATATCCACTCTATTAAGCAGTAATCCCAGCGCACTCTGGTACTCATACGCCTCATTTGGTGGAGTGCTGCTGCCCTGTTTACCATTACAGTAGTTATTATATGGATAGAATTCTACACAGTGTTCTCCATGTATTCCAATGTGGTTTTACTGCAAAAAATGGCACATAGACTGAATCTGAATCATAGAAACCGTGTATTACCAGATTGTACCAGCTCAATTGTATTTTAAAAGTGTCGGCATAGAACAGAAAATTGGCATTCAATTTTATAACTCAAAAGCCTGCATGAATTTAAAGTCTGACAGGCTAATTGCGAAAATGTTATTTATGGTATTCACTTAAATGTGCACACAGAGAGTAATATTATATTGCCAATATGAATGCCAATTTTCACACTTTTAAGTTAATGTATTAAATCATTACATAAAGTTTGATTAAATACATCAAACTACAAGGCTTAGATTGAAACCGTACAGGCTCAGAAGATCACAGAGATATTCAGCCATTGTTGGAATACACGAGGGGCATATAGTTACAGAGGACCTATCTGATGAGGATGAGAGTAAGAGACAATGTAGGATATTATACGCTCAGGAGAATACTCTGGCACGCAGATTTGGATCCTGTACAGACCAGGTCAAAAGAATGTTCTTCAAGACGTACAGTACACCCCTTTGCAGCGCTCATCTTTGGTCCAATTTCAAAAAAAGGAAGTCTGCAAAAGCTGCAGGTGGCTGATAATGATGCTCTCTGAGTGCTTCACAGCAGACCGAGATGGACCAGTGCGAGTGAGATGTTTGTCTCGGCAAGAGTTAACACCTCGCAGGCCACACTGCGGAAACCCGTGTATAGCTTCATTCATTGCCAGACCTTTCATTGAGCAGGTCTGGCAATGAAATAGTGTGTCATTGGTTGATCTGTTGTAGTGCAGCCCGTTACCAGTCGAAGATATGGATTTCTGTCTTTTGAACTTGTGTGTTCTGTCTTTTGTGTGTCTATGTTGGACCCTGAGTCTGTAATTAAAGCTTCATTCATTCACACACACAGAATCATCCTACAGCACAACGCCCAGGGAGCACACTTGAAAAGGGCTCTTTCTCTTAAAAACCATCCTCTTCACTGCATTTTAAATAATCTAAAAAGCTTTTCTTAGTGAGCGCTCGGTGATGCCTTGGACAGCACCTGTGCATGTTCAGATCGAGCACTTATCTGAAATGGTGTCATGTTTATCTTGCACAGATGTTACCTCAGGTCTTCAGCTGAGACCAGAATGAGAGATCTGAGACCCGTCTGTAGTGCATAAAAAGCACGTACTCCTCAGAGTGGAGTGAATGGTGATGTGCCATGAATGATCCTGGTCTTTGAAAAAGGCACAATTCATACTCAGGGCAACACAAAGTCACAGAACAAGAGAGTAAGCGTTAGATTGTATCAGAAAGATCATCCAGAATCTCACAACATACTGTACATACTTTTGGGAGAACATCTCAAATCCTTCTGTTATAAGTGCAGCTAAGAACTGTTTTTAATCTGGATTTGAATAACGTCAAAGTAGAGGCACATTCTCAAGGTTTGAACTGCAGACATCTGAAGTAATGACTCCCCATGTTTGGTCCTGACTGAAAAAGCGCTAAATTCAAAACGGTTATTTATACTGGAGGACTTCATTTTCTCAATTCCCCAACAACATTGTAGAGAATCACACAATTAGAACACAAGAAAGACAGTGGATGCATAAGAGGATGACTAAATAAGCTCATGTATTACATCCAAAAGAAAAGAAGATAAGATGAAAATAAATTGTGTCTTACTGTGTTGTATATGTAACATGGAAAAAATCAAACAAACAAAAACAACACAAAGTAACAAAAAATAAAGGTATTGGTCTATAGTGGGATGACCAAAGTTCCCCTCATCCTGTTACCATTATTTTGTGTCTTGTTTTATAATCTTTAATTTGTATCTTGCTTATACCTTCATTGAGGGGCTGGTGCTATGTGTACTGGTGCAGCTGATTGCCAGAAATGGATTGGATTAAGGAGAAGAAAATAGATGGAAGGATGGATGGGCTTATACCCAGTGTTGTGCGTGAACGAGTTCAAAAGAACGCGTTCATTGAACACGCACATTTTTTTGTGAACGTTGAACTGAACGCAACACATTTTTTTAAAAAGAACACATTTTTGAACGTGAATTAGTTCATTTTATGTGTCATGAACGGCAGACATCACTATGAACGTTGGAATCTGTTATCTCTTTTGAAACGCAACGAGAGAAAGTTCCTCCCTCCTGTATTCTCGCACTTTTTCCGCTGAAATCTAAAAATTCCTACGGTTTCCATTGTCTGTGAACGCACCCCGACTCTGTGTTGCGGTATGGTTGCGGTGCGGCGCTTTGAGCTGGTGCTTTTCACATGTGCCCAAGTCGTGATGAAAACACAGGGTGAGTTAGCGACAAAGTTTACACAGTTTACATTTGACATAAAGTATAGACACACGCACTGCAGCGCATTACTGTCTGTAGTTTATAAGCAGAGATGGGGCAACTCAGTTTTGCTTTGAAAACCATATAAATCTGGTCTGTTTTGTAGTCAAAAGGCTCTCCTCCTGTGGGTGTACAGGAGATATATACATTTATATATATATTTATATATATATATATATATATATATATTATAGCTCGTAGTGTGAAAAAAAGTATTTGACTATTTCACAAAAAAAGTCAAATGAACTGAACTTTGAACTAGTTCAGAAAAGTTGTGAACTGGCACAACACTGCCTATACCTTCATTTTGCATATTGCGTGACATAAAATTCTTATTGCTACTACCCTTCAGACTCATGTTCCCCTCCGGGCCTCTCACCTGGCGGACATGATGGCGTACTGGTCCTTGCCCAGGCAGACGTCTTGAGTCACGTAGGCGTTGTTGTCACATGACACCCCTGGGGCGGTGTAATTGGGTTGGCACACGGTGAGGAAGAAGGGGGCGTGGTACCCGGTGGCTAACTGGATGACATCTGTCACTAGGGCCGTCGCCAGGAGACCGAACACATGCACACCTGGGGGACACAGAGCATGATGGGAAATGAGGAGCTGAAATCCTCTGGTGGCGTCTTCACATTGAGCCGCTTAATTTCCAATCACCTGCACTGCAATATTCGTAACTTATAAAAAAAGGCTTTACCGAAAAAAATAAAATAATAAATCTCAGCCAGGTGAATTAATCATGTTTTTTTCCACTTCAAAGCTCGCAGTTTGCCGCAAGATATTTCACGTAAATGGTTCTATCATGCCTGTTACAGAATCATCACACACTGAATTAGTTTATTTTACACCCCAGAGTCCCGCGGATCAAATGGATTAAGACCCGTTTTAAAAGATCATTGACTGGAGATGGCATCCCCTCCCAGACACCAGAGGCAAAATGGAATTGACGGCCCTTATTGATTAAAGTGCTCATGCCGAGATCCAGAACTGCATGTTTTCATCCATCATTATAAGAGTTATTTATTTACATCAACAAAGCCCGTCTAAAAGTTAGCTTGTGTTTTGTTTGAAAAAATTAACACTAACTTTGAAGTGCTAAGTTTTGTTTTTTTACATAAATGGATTGGGTAAAATACTAAAGTGCGGTTACAGGGTGTCAAGAAATAATGGACAAATTTAATCAATAATCTTTATGTGAAAATTATGTGCACTTCTGCTGTTTTGGCGCCTAAACGGGTTAGGTAAAATGGGTTGTTTTGAGCTTTTAACCATGTTACCATAGTTCCAACCCTAGAACCATTCGCACTACTATAATAAACCTCTGGAACTCCTGCCTACAAGCTCCCGCCTCAGATACCTGTCAAAGTGTTATCTCTAGATTAGCATGAGTATAAGGTTGATGTGCGTTCTTTACTGTGCCTTTGTTTTACATTCAAAGTAGAAAAAAACGCAGCAAATTCAACTCCTCCCTCTGGTGGTATCATAGGGAGTTACAGGCAGTAGGCATTTTTTACCCTTCATATTTGTTTCACCATATATTTTCTTATTATTCAACCTTCTAAAACATGACATGACCAAGTAAAAAGTCTCATTATAATCCATCATGTTTCTAATTGAATGGACACATTTAAGCAGAGAAATCACTCACCAACGAACCGCACTGTTCTCCTTAAAAAAGAGTTGAAGCTGCAGCCTCCAGCGTTGATGCTGCTCTCGGACTTTGGACAGGATCTTAATCTGGACTGCATACAGTACATGACCCCCTCCCCCATCATGATCTGTGGACACAAACTCCAACTATTAGACCCCCAAAACATTTACAATAGTGACCAGGAATCCTTAATGTACAGCGGGCACATCAAACTCAAGCCCAAGACTATTTTCAATGGCCCCTGAAGTTTTTTCTGAAAACTTCCTATATACCTATCCTTTCCATGGCATGTTATACTTCATTTCAAGATTATTTTCTCAGGATCATTTACGACCATATATATCTGTTCTCAAATTTAAACTACATGGACAAGTTTGGCCAAATATATATGTTTTATAGTTAATTGTCTTCAATCACATCTCTTCTTGTTATTCAGCACATAAAATAATATCCAAACCAATGTCACCAATGTTGTATTTTGACAAGAAATAATAATAAATAAAAACAAGATAATGTCAAAATACAAAAATATGTAAAAAGAAATTATGACTATAAAGAAAACCACTTTAATGCTAAAAGGTAAGAGCTGATTCTCTTTTAAAATTTGGCCCCTGATAAAAATTAGTTTGACACCCCTGATGTACAGTGGATATTGTTAGATACACTAGGAGGAGAAATTGAGTCTGAAAATTCCACATTGTACTGTCAACATGATTTTCTTTAGTAATGAATTTTTGAGGTGGATTTTCCATCGAGAAGACTAACAGAAAAGTTAGACCAGAAAAGTGTATAACTGAAACACAATACATTATAAGCCAGATACATAGGAATATGAAAACGCAGAGGCTATGATCTAATGAACAAGACAGTGAAAAAACATACAGAATAACAAGAAGGAGGTAAAAAGAGCAATATCGTCAGAGATCAGTGAGAAAGTGTGTCCCAAAGAGGCGGCAGGCTCAGAGCAATCGAGCCATAATCACTTGGAATGGGTGTGATAGATGGCTGCTGGAGAGCCCTGTACGTTTCTATGGCTCTGATGGATTGGATCTGTGTGTGAGTGAATGTGGACATTGATTCTAAGACCTTTGCTGTTTATCGCAATGTCAGGTGAGTAATTATCAACGTGTCTATCGATTGTGCATTCCAAGATGTAGATTTCCTTTGACGATGGGGCATTCTGTTGTGTGGTCAGAGTAAGAGATAGATATAGAGATGGATAGATAGATAGACAGATAGATAGACACTTAATTCATGTAGGAGAAATTCATGTGACCGGCAACAGACACACATCCATTCAGACAAAAAAATAAATACAGTACATCCTTCTAAATGTTACTAACAATAGTAATAACAATATTTATCCATATCTATAGTGGAAACCTCTGGTATATGCAGGTTTGACAAAAATATACAATCTATTTTGAAAAAGAGGTTCTGGATCTCAATGGGATTTTTCCTGGTTAAATAAATTAGAGAAACAAAATCTATCCCTAAATCACATCTGGTAAAATTTTCCAAGCAAGGATGATAGTAAAGATTCTCCACTTACATTTTATAAAATGTTTGTACAGTAGGCATGCAGCTCCCAAAGGATCCTCATGGACCAAGCAGACATGAGGTCATTGGACCGCAACAGTGTGGTTTTTGTTCCAGTAAACCCCCACTATGTACAGCCAATCAAATACTTACAATAGTATGTGTACTGTAGATTTTTATGCAAACAATTTAATTAAAAGAAAAAAATATATATATATGAGAAACATGGGCTTGGGCTTTGCAAATGACCACCATGATATATGAATGATATGATGAAAGATATTTGTTTTTTGTCTCATTCAATGTTTTTCAAGGCTCTTCCATTGACGCAGTTGGCATTGGAATCCCTGAGGGTCAACAGAACCCTCTTCACATTTCACTGATGGCCTGACGTGATTTGTGATGCATTTATAGCTCACCGAAGCGGCCGGTCCGGCGAAGGCCAAGCTCAGGAGCATGAGTAAAGGTATGAGCTCGTCTCCTGCCTCCACATAGGGCATAGAGAGGTCGCGGTCATAGCATCGGAAGCCCACCATCGCCGGGGCTAACACATCGGTCAGTTCCAGGAAGTACAGAGACACCAGGGAGGACAGCACGATGGGAAGCTGAAAAAAACAATTCAAGTCTGAGCTATCGATGGGAACAATTTCACTGAAGCTACAATAGACAACATCAGAGAATCAAAGTAACAGGATTAAAATGGCTATATGTAAATTCTAAATTAACCATACAACCTATTTGTGTAGTTTACATACATTAAATTGTAATCACTTATACAGTAAATACAGCAGAACCACCGTATGTCCCTATAGTGACTAAATATAGTGACTCAGAGGCAAAGCAGAAAATGAGATCGAATGACAATCGACATGAGTCACTTGACTGTAGAGAAGTCACAAAAGAGAAAAGAGCACCTCTGCATACATACCTCGACAAAATAAAAGCATGGCAGGAGCGTCATGCTGTCTTTGGGCGGTTTCTTCTTGGCCTTGTGTTTGGGGGACGCCATCTTGGTGTGGGACCATTCTGAACCTGGGAGAATAATAAAAATGTAAATTAGTCAGAGTGAATGAACAAAGAAATCAACAATTGTATATGTGAGTGTATTGTGTTTTAAAATCTGTCAATAGTGTTCGAAATAGTTGGTTACATGATCATGGAAAGTATACAGCCAAAGATTGTGAGTATAGAAATGTTGCGAAACTTTCCATGTGTTATCTGCAGATTGGATAATTAAAGTTCAGACTGGAAGGAAATCTATTCTGCCTTCACTCTCATTTTGCCACTAACCCGAGCCTCGGCTTATCAGAATTTTCCTTGGTACTTTTAAAACAGTGCCTCGTCAAGTTTTCACTTTGCTTCCAGCTTGTGCCGCAGCCCTCCTCCTCCCCACCAGTGGGACAAACTCTCTTGTCTCTTTACTCCAGCTTCCACAGCGAGGGCATAGACCCCAGGATACCTCATGTGATTATTATTGTGCAGAGGTGTACGCGGCAAAATAATATCCAGCATATCCAGTTTAAGTACCTGTATTATATCGTAACAATTCATGCAACATATCTCAATGAACTAACTTTGTAGTGAGAGAGCCAGTTTATGTAACCTTACTAATTGTAAAAACTTTTTTGACTGATTCACTGTTCTCGGCTTTAAAATGAAGTGTGAAATGTGCATGTTGATTGCATTAAGACGGAGCTGAAGTTGGATGGATGACAAATGCTTACTTCTCAGCATCTACCTTAGCTCCACACACAACATTTTGTGCTACGATCAAAAATAAATGACCTGGGCGTGCCTGTTCAAATACATATTTATTTAATCTGTTAGACTCTTTCCAGATTGTAAAATAGTGTTAAAATAGGTCATGGTAGAAACCGTATATTAGCCAGAAAAAAATGACCATGTTAAACTGATCATAATTTGGGATGTGAAGCTGGACATACTGTATGCTAAACACTATGCTAACCACTCCACCCCTGTGCCATCTCAAACTGTGCAAGGGTACCATTCACATTTTATAATCTAAATTTTAGTTACCGGGCTGGAGAGGCAAAGGGGTAAACCAACAAGACTGAGGTTATGGAAACAAGTCCATGGCACTGGCGGATGTAGATAAGTTATACGCTATGTTTACTCAATGCCAATATTAAAACCTTTTCCATCCTTGCAAATTCACAAGAGATCCGTTGCTCTGTCAACAATAACCCGAAGGCAGCGAGACCACAGAGAGATTCTTGAGGAGGAGCTGGGAGTGAAACTAAACAGTGTTAAATATTCACTGCTGCTCCATGTCCTATCTCATCTGCTTCGTGCTTTCCCCAATATTCCTCCACTCTAATGGGCTCTCTCGCCTGTTCCACTCACTATGTCCCGATTTTTCTTATCTTAATGTACCTACGCTATCAATTTGGATCCGAAACACTGTTGGCTCATCTTATTAGGGAAGATTTAGTCGGGGAAATTGCGGTCACTCAAAAGGTAAAGACCATATTCAGCTTACATTTTCATTTCTTTAGAGCTGCAGTGGTCATAAATAGCCCGCCCCAAAAAGCTTTAATCCCAAAATAAGCCTTGAAGCAAAAAAGCCATATTCGCTGCTGGCTGTCGAGGCATCTTTGCATCTTCTTCTGCTTCCGTCATCTTGCTCTCTCTCTCTCTTTTTCCTTTTGCACATTACATACTGCAGGTCTAATGCCAACAATACCTTCTTGTATTCAGTTTTTCAATGCATTTTTCTCTTATATGCTCTATTTTAGAATTAGTATCACATGGAAATAATATTAGCCACATGAATTGAATACAATTGAGTTTTTATAACTGTTTTAATGATGCTTGAAAGTCTTTCCTCTAAAGTGTCAGGGTTAGGCCAACATATATCATATTGATCTACTGGTAAGGACTCCATTCAGACCACAAAATCCATTTCTCTTTTATGAGCACACCATCCCCTCCCCAATCTCTGGTCTCAAATGATAAGCTGTTTAGTATAGTTGTTGTGTTATGAGAACATTACACTTTTAAAACTTTAATGATTGCTTTTCTTTGCGATGAGCGTCACCAACACACTCATATGTAACACACTCCACCTTTTGACCTGTCCTGCTCCACCCAGAGGCTACTCCATCTGTGCTGCTCTGACCCGTCCTGCTCCACCCAGAGGCTAGTCAATCTGTGCTGCTGTAAGTAAGTAAGTAAGTAAGCTTTATTTATATACCGCCTTTCACAGACCAGAGTCACAAAGCGGTTTACAATTGTTATTTTTTGGGCACTTGTCCTCTCACTCCACACAGAGATGGGAGCGGGGTCGCCGAACAGGAGGCGCATGCCAGACCTATTGTACATATTTTTAGTGGTAGGGGAAACCGGAGTACCCGGAGGAAACCTACGCAGACACGGGGAGAACATGCAAACTCCACTCAGAAAGGCCCTGGTCCGGCCGGGATTCGAACCCAGAACCTTCTTGCTGAGAGGCGAGAGTGCTATCCACTCAGCCACCGTGCCGCTGTGACCGTCCTGCTCCACCCAGAGGCTACTCCACCTCTGCTGCTCTGACCCGTCCTGCTCCACCCAGAGGCTACTCCATCTGTGCTGCTGTGACCGTCCTGCTCCACCCAGAGGCTACTCCATCTGTGCTGCCCTGACCCGTCCTGCTCCACCCAGAGGCTACTCCATCTGTGCTGCTGTGACCGTCCTGCTCCACCCAGAGGCTACTCCACCTCTGCTGCTCTGACCTGTCCTGCTCCACCCAGAGGCTACTCTATCTGTGCTGCTCTGACCTGTCCTGCTCCACCCAGAGGCTAGTCAATCTGTGCTGCTGCGACCCGTCCTGCTCCACCGAGAGTCTACTCCACCTCTGCTGCTCTGACCCATCCTGCTCCACCCAGAGGCTACTCCATCTTTGCTGCTGTGACCTGAAGGGCTGAACACCTGAATTTCTTCTACGGGGATCAAAAAAGTATCTATCTATCTACCTATCTATCTATCTATAATCCAAATGGTTTTGAAACTCAAAGTAGATGAACTCACTTCCTTTGACTTACATCTTGCAACTTTTTACATGATAACTAATACGATGTCTATGGACTAAAAAATTCCAATTGATCCAAAAGCACGTCCTCTTGTAATAGCTAAGTGGAATTTAAAACTGTATTTGAAATCAAAAAATATTTGTTGTGTGAGAGCAAAACCTACAGACAGTTTAATGTTCACTTAAGAACTGGAAATAACAGATTATCCCAGATCACAGGACGATACAAGGGCGTCAACAAACATTTACGTTTTTGTAAGCTTTGCACAGGTAATCATATCAGTGACGAGTTTCCTTTACTGTTGAAGTGCTTGAATAATGAAGTTGTTTTATACAGAGTCACATATCTCTCTCAGTGTTAGGTTTGAAAATGGTCTTTTGCTTTGTGCTCCATAGCCTATATATGGTCACGAGCCATAAAGAAAGAAAGAAAAGAAAAAAAGCATAAATAACAACGTTTTGGTGCATTTTGTGTCAAGATTCAAACCCAAATCCTTCCACATATTGGTTCTGTTGTGCATCTTGCCTCTTCATCGTTTTCTCCGCTCTAACCCTGACCCTGGGCCGTTTCCCACTGCCAAAATCAAAGATTTCCGCAGTAATTTCTGTGACCGAATTGAAGGAGAGCGGGAAAAAGTGATAAGTACAGATCAAAGAAAAAAAAGATAAAAATCCAAAATGATAATAACCCAAAAAAAAACGTGCCCTAAATATGCAGTATGTGCGTGGGGGAGGGGACTGTGGTGATGGGGGATATTTGGGGTGGATTCAAAAAGAGGATTAGGACAAAAATGGAGTTGGGGTCTTGTTATAAACGCAAAAGACGAACGACACTAGCTTGTTGGAATGGGTTACTGGGCTGGGAACGTTTACATTATTCTAAAGAGTATTATAATGTCATTGAGTTGCCACAAGACATTCCTGAACAGTGCTTTTTCAGTCCCTTTTCAAGTATTATTCATTATTTAGACTGAAAATTAAGATTTCCAGAAAGAGCATGTTTCATAATTTATAATGGAAACTGCCCAGCAACTTTTGACAGCGCTCTCTCACTCACTCACAGAGAAAGTTGTTATTATCTTCAAACATAGGCAATTTATTCTAATTATGGAATGGCATTAAAAAAAGTTATTAAAGTGGAGCCTTACCACAATTCGGATTTTCACAATTGATTCATATGTATTTGTCTTTACTTTGCCTTTTAGTGTTAAATACGTAGAAACGCCATTTTTATGGATCAAGTTTACTCAAGATTAAAGAGTTTATTTGCCATTTGCAGTAAAACCACATTGGAAAAACTGTGCAAATGGCAAATAAATGTGAATATTGTTGCTTATTCAAACAAATTCAACCTTTAATGTTTCTATCTTATTCTGTTACGCACTTTTAATTAACTTGTGTATGAATTACGGCGCACAAATAAGCTTGCCTCGCCTTAAATCCCAAAAAGAAGTGCACTATCTACCATAGGGTTTCTTCAAATCAAATTGATGTTTTTCTTGTACAGCCCAAAATTACAGTAGACATTGGACGGCGCCACAGAATTGCAAATTTGGCCACTATACAACACCTAGGAGTCACTGGTCCATAGATGACGGATTAAACCAATGTGCATACCCTGTCCTTAGTCTCTCCTGTTTATAAAAGAAAACACTCCTGTCCCTATAGTCAGTGTGTTTGGTTGGTGTTGAAACACATGCTTTTGGCAGCTCTGCAGTGACACGTCTGTGAGTGACAGAGGCACCGCTGCGGAATTTGAACAATGAGACGAGAGCTGCAAAGAGAAATCTCGCTAAAGTCGCTAAAACCTTCAGACGACTTCATACAGAATTGCTTTGTCAGTTATAACAGCCTAAATATATATCATTTCATTAATCCAAGCGTCTAAAAATGAGGTGTGGCATCGAAAAGGTTTGAATCAGGACTGCATCGACAAACCTGCAAAAAATGTGGCATGAGACTGGAAAACTTTAATGGACTGA